CCTGTGGCTGAAGGGGGCTCCTCCTCTCTCCTTATATCAGAGATCAAGCAATCCTTGGCACTTCTAGGCCACTGCACCTCTCAGAGACCTTTCTCTCAGTTGCAGGGTTTTACCACTACCTATGGTGGTTCCAGAGGGAAGCCCAGGACCTCCCACTACCGCAGGCTCCAGCCTTGGAACCCTGTACTATGGAACAGCAGTCTGCCCTAAACCCAAAACTGCCTTGCGTCATGATTCCCAAGGCCACTTCAGTTTAGGCCTTCTCACAGCCTCTTCCACTCCCAGCTTCCCTCTGCGTAGGGATCACCACTGGTCTTATTCTAGAGCCCTTGCTATTGCTCTTCCTCAGGTATCCTCCTCGCCCATCTCAGACAATTTCAGCCAAGCACCTCCCAATCTCCTTCCCCAGCTCCCTCTCAGCCAAGAGCCACCCAGGAGAGCTTCCCCAGCCAGCTGTTGCTTTCCTCTGTTCTCTCTCCCACACTGAGAGCAGAAAGCTCTTTATATCCTATTGGCCCCTTCCTAGCAGGCTTAGCCATAGCCAGCAATCACTCAATCAAGGAAGAAAACCAGGCACAGGTGGGAGTAGGGTCCTGCACTCTTTTGTGGCCCAGACACATTAAGCAGTTTTGGGATGCTTTCTAACTAAATGAAGAGTAAAATGTGTTTAACCCATTTGGCTCTGCACAGAGAACACCTCCATTTTTCAACTTGATGTGATTAAAATGAAGGCAAGAACAGACCTTCAACATGGTGTATGTGAAGGAAGAGGCAAGTTAACCTGGACAAGCCATACTACGGGCACTACTGCTAAAATAATCTGCACAGATAGTTTGAGGAATCCCCCTTCTGTTAATCATCAATATATTCATGCAAACAATTGCACACTGTAACAACCACACTGGTCATACCAAAGGTAGGGCATTAACATGCCTTCCACTTGTGGATTCAAAGAGGATAAAACTGGGCATTTGGGCAGAAATGGCCCAATATCTGTCAGAGGGAAGGGGGGCTAAGAGACATTCCACCTTCCTCCCATAGCCCTTTGGAAGCCCCACTTCACAAATACCATACTGCTGGGGAGTTGTGGGCTTAAGATGGGTGAGTAGTAGACAGTGAGCACAGCCATTCTGTGTACCATCATCCCTTGTCAAATCTGTTGGGAGATCCCAGCAGGTCTTAATGCTGATTATCAGTGTTAATTTGCATGGTTTCTGCTCTGTGCTGCAAGCCAATACATACATGTCTGGCATAGTATACACCACATTAACGGGCGTTATGTGCAGTGAATTAATATAATATACACGTATATCTTGGGAAGTTATGTTAACTGAATGTATCATGCTCTCCCCACAATTCTGTTCACCCATGTCAAATATTCAGCTGTATTCTAATGCCATAGCTGAAGTCAGCTATGGCATTAGAAAATAGGAAGCCCGTCAAAGCCAAGATGCATGAATGGTGTGTCCTAGCACAGGCTGGGACAAACCTCTCCACTCAACTGCTTTGGAATGAGGTATGCAAAAGAGAGATAAGAAAGACACCGTACACCAACAAGTTAAGGAACGGTTATGAACTGGTGGGTTGGATTTTAGTGCCATGTAAAGAGTTTTGTAACTTGTAAAATCAGACTATAAATACTACTAGCTGAAAAGCAGATTTTTGAAGCATACTTTCTGTTTAAGCTGAACATGCTGTGAGACTGTTCTTTCCGGAAGGAGGGTATGTCTATCTCCTTGTCGTATTGTACTGCTTTGTCTTCAGACAACACATTTGGCTAAGTTCGGTGTTCTGAACATTTTTAAGAATAAAGCGTGAATGTAGTCAACCAATTTGAATCAATAGTGCCATCAAGTTCCTTAAGAGGTTGGGGGTTGATGCAGGAGCAGGTAAGGAAGGGATTGATATCCCGTATCTGTGAGGCAGCTGTCAGGCAAGGGGGCAAGGAGGTTTGCGTAGTAGCAAGGAGGGGTTGATTCTGTGTATAAATATCTCGAAGCTCTGAGGATGCACACAAAGCTTGCCACCCTTCCTTCCTCCTGCCATTCTCCCAATGGCAAATCACCTCAAAAACCAGCACAGTTTTCCAAGTAAATGTAACTCTTATGTGGGTTTTTTCCATAGAAGGACACAGTAGGGCCCAATGTTTTTTAATTCTTCATTAGTAAGTAGAATAGCAAAGCTTGAAGTGGACAGGGCCAACTGAAAAAGAAAACAGTTGAGAACTGTGCAGGAAGCCAGTAACTGAAGAGAGCAGTGTGATACTCCCAAGTCTGATACAGCAATCTCCAACGGACACACAGTGCACCATCAATATCAAAATCCCAAGGGATATTTTTGTAAATTGCCTGCTTGTTTTAAGAGACAAAACCTTTTTCAATCGTATCAATGCACATGCATGGCAGAGAGATGCAAGCACTAGGAAAATCTGGTGCATTTCAGGTTGTTAAAATAAATCTGATAGAAAAACCAAACTAAATTTGATTTGAAAAAAAACTCCAGCATTTATCAAACCTGCCATTTGCCAGTCAGGGAGCACCATGTCAGACTCTTATGTCCGCTCTGGTTCCATTCTCTGTCAGCTTCTAAGGCTACATCTCCGCTACAGCCAGGATCCACGCTCTGAGATTAATCCACCGACGGTCGATTCAGCAGGTCTAGTGAAGACCCGCCAAGTGGACAGCAGATCACTCTCCAGTCGACCCCATACTCTACCCCCAACGAGAAGAGTAAGGTAAGTCGACAGGAGAGTTTCTCCCGTCAACCCCCCGTGGTAACTCAACCTAAGGTACGTCGACTCCAGCTACTTTATTCACGTAGCGTAGGTCGACTTACCACGGTAGTGTAGACACAGCCTAAGTGCACCAAGGGAATAATAATGAAATACGCCCCAATTGACAAATTCAAACCATTTCCCTTTGCCAGATGGTCTGCTTCTGCAATCCAATACTAACAACACTTCCCTATACCTTCTGGACACCTCTAAGGACACAGTAACAGCATAATTGGATTTTAAAAAGCTGTCCCAGATCAAAAAATGTGTTACAATGAATGCCATTCCAACACAGAGATCTGCAAGTTCCTGAAACATAAACAAGGCCCTACATAATTTATATCATATAGCAATGATAATAATGAAGTATAAATTTGTTATAATTTAATTATTTATGAATAAATAATAATGTACTGTTGGTAATACATTCAACTACAATACATATTTATAACAACAGGATTTCTTATAAATAATTATAACAGGGCAGACTGTGCTTTAGAAATGTGACTGATAGTGCACATCTAGGCCCTGCTCCTACAAACACTATTGCATGTGAGTAATTTTACACACGCGAATAAGCCCATTGAACTCAGCAAGTGTAAATGTTTGCAGGATGAGGCCCAACTTGGGTCAGTCCTAAAAGTAACTTATTGCAAAAATAAACTTTGACCCAAGTAAGCGCAGAACAATTTAATTCTAAAACATTGTGCTTCATTTTTTGCCTGAAAAAAACCTTACTTTTGCATTATTTTCCCAGTTTCAAAGAGAAAATAATCCCAAATAATCCTCTCTCTATTTTACATTATTTTGTTTAAATTTAATCTTAAACTATATTTAACTACATCCAAAGAGGACTTATTAATTTGTTTTATCTAATCTTGTTTGATTATTCTATACTAGGGCTATTGGCGTAGTTTTGAAATGATTGCGATCTACTAAATGTATGGGTAGTATGACCAAGAGCAGGTCTACACTTAAAACACTTGATTGGCACAGCTGCACTGATTCAGCTGGGCTGCCGTAGCACTTAAGTGAGGATGCTCCTATGCCAACAGGAGAGCTTCTGCTGTCAGCATAGTTAATCCACCTTCCTGAGAGGCGGTAGCTATGTTAACAGGAGAAGCTCTCCCATCGACATAGGGTTGTCTACAAGGTCTGTATACTGATATAGGCGTGTAGTGTAGTGTAGACCTGGCCCAAAAGACTGACATTTATTTATTGAACAGTGATGAGAGAGGTATACCTAAAGGGGCGTGCCACATGTTGTTCCTGTTCTGAGCAACAGGAGTAAGTCTGTTTCCATTCTGCATAAAAAGGAAACTACTGCGTGGAACCCACATTAGTTTATGGCTGATTGCAAAGGGCAAAATGCTTGACTGGAAAAGATGCCTTCCCCCACCCCCCAAAAGATAAAATATTAAGTAAGGGATTGATCCTGAATCCTTTATTCATTGACTTGAAATAGAGTTTTGCCTAAGTTAAGACTATAAGATTGGGTCATAAATGTAGGGTTTTATTCAGAGCATCATTATGGCTCAATTGGCAACATTCTTGCTTCTGTCCCAGAATTCCCACCCTTGGACTCAGTCTTATCTTCCTTTCTGATGTCATAATACAATGCTGCAGCATTGAATTTTGCATGAGATATTCAAGCATAGGTCCCTTATTCATCATTTATCCCTTTGAATGCATTTCTTGTTTCTGATGCATACATGTTTCCCATGCATCTGTAGGCCTGGAGAACTGACAACACCACGATTTATGGGAGAATATTCCTTAATGTAGGCCATTATTATTGATGAGAACCCTTCCTGGAGTTGGTTTAACACCCTTTCTTCACTATCTCTTTTTAGTTGAATGTTGTTTCATCTCTTGGGATGGCCTATGTGAAATTCCCAGACAACAGTCTTAAAACCACTTAGATTGCAGTATATCTCGATTTATTAGCAAGTGACAGGAAGTCATTAACCAAAAGAAACAGTACGCATTGCATATCTGTACTGATGCAAGGCAACTGTAGCGCTTACTCAACTGCTTCCCTGTCAGTCTCTTGAGAGGAGCTATACACCCCATTGTAGGCTGGTTGTAGACATACAGCATTGTCAATATGTTTGTCTATGTATCTAACTCATTATTTGGATAATTCCAATATGAAATGGGCACATATCACATTATGCTCCATATTCCCTTGTGTTTTAATCGGAAAGAAACATAAACGAATCCTAGGTCAAGTCCAATGAGAAGATTTAATGTGACCATAGAATACTATTATGGTCGTCACTCAGTGATACCAGAACAGCCTCACTGAAGTCAGTGAAATTGCACTGCACATAGAATCTGACGGTTATTATTTAAAAGGGTTCTAGAAGATACTGGGAGTGGGAGGTAGATAAGGAAGACATGGTGGGCAGCGCATTCACCTCAGATGATATCATACAGAATGACATTGTCTGTGTAAAATGAAAAACACATGAACTAATAATATTGCTGTTAATTATGGACTGTTTAACTCTGGGGATTAGCTATAAAATACAGAGTCTCTCATCCGCCAGGTCAAGTTCTGGGCAGGTTGGTAGTGACTGAAAAGTGTCACCAGATGATGATTCTTCAATGGCCTTCATGAAATGAGTTGGTTGGTCTCACTCCAATTCCTTGTGGAGTTCTCCAGAAAAACAAGCCTCCAAAATTGACATGCTCAGTAGAGAAGGTAGCAACCCCCAAAGCAGTTTATCCTCTTCAGGGCATATCTGTGGCACAGAATGGAGACACACACACTGCTGCAGCTCACACTGGTCCCTGTTTACAGATAATAAATAGACAACTTCAGTTTCTAGGGCTGCCAATCTGGCATCTTTAATAAGCACTAAAATCACACACAGAAATCCCCAGTCCATTACTATTAGTACTCTGAGAGATGTGGCAGGAGGCCAAGTGATTAGCTACTCAACAAGTGTGATAATTCCCAGAAAATACTCTGCCTGGAATGTCTTGCTGTTATTACGACATGGATTTCAAAAACGAAAAGAAGAAAATAAAAGATCAAAGTCAGTACTGCCCACTGACTGGTTATTATTTCCATGTGTCTGACAACAATGGAAGCTAGTTTTGATTGTGTCCAAAATTCTAAAGCTATGTTAATCCAAATAATAACTGAACCAAGATGGTGCTATTTAATTACCTCCTATTCTGTAAATACGTCATGGGAAAAAATGAATATGTTCAATTATTGTTACATTATGTTATTCTTCTCTTCCAGGAAAAGAAAAAGGTCTACACAAAAACAAAAGCTCCATCAATATAATCATACAAGGAAGTCTAATATTGTAAAGCAATGGGGGAAAATCAGTCTGTTTCATACCATTTATGCTCTTTTTTCTTCTCCTATTCAAAAGCAGGGGGCAGGAGAACAGCTCAGATGTCTAAGCTTAAATTTGGAACTACTTACCCTGCCTACAGCTTCAGATGCCAGCAGGTTTCACTCAACTCTTCATCCTTCAGAGGCAGATAAACTGAGATCCATCCCCATTTACTGTGTGAGGTCGTTTGGCTGAGGCCCCAAAAATCAAGTTCTTTCTACTTTACATGGACATTAAAGATTCCATGCCACTTTTTTTATATGAGTAGGAGACTTTTGCCTCCTCTGCTGATGTACTAAAATATATTACTATAAAAATGTTACAGTAGATTATATTATCATGGGGCAAGCAATCACATCCGGAAAGAAAGTACAGCAAGAGAAGCATGACTTAAGTAAACATTTTAAATGTTCAAAACAGCCATCTGGTGAAGGACTTCAACATTGGAGTGAGAGACTGTCAAGTTACGAAAATCCATAAAAGGTGATCTACAATGGGGAAGATGGATTAGAGCACTGTTCTTGTTTCATTATTACATGAAGTAGATCTGAAAAGGTATGCCTGGGTAGAGACAGGCACCTAAGAATGAATGCAATCCACAAAAGACAGCATGCTAGGCAGGAGCTGCCAAAGCTAGCCAATGGGAGGGGTATATACCAAGCCTCTCCCTTCTGACGGAGTTAGACACCAGTCTCTGCTTGTGATCCACAACTGGGAACCCCACTCTTGGAGTCAGGCAGCTTAGGCACCTAAATTCTTTCTGTCAAGAATGAATTAGGTGCCTGCTTCACTTCACACACAACAATGATGAGGGTGGTGATGCCAAACTTCTAGCCCAGTGATTAGAGCGCTCATCTGGGATGGGGAAGACCCAGGTTCTACTCCCACCAGCCTGTCTGATGGGTACAAAGGATTTGAACAGGGGTCTCCCATCCCTCAGGGGATGGCTCTACTTCCTGAGCTATGGGAAAATTGAGGGAGGGGGAGCTCCCCTCCCTCAGTCTCTTCTGTTGAAGCTGCTCTAGTCTGGATAAATAATTACAGAGACCATTGAAGCAGGGGGAACTGGCACCTGGGTCACCCAAGTGGGTGCCCTACTTACCAGACTACCGAGTCATTCCCCCTCTTTCCTGGGCCCATTGACTCCTTAAGTACTTACACAAAGTGGAATAGTGTCAATAAAAGAGATTGAGGGCACCTTACATCAGACAATCGCATAGCTCAGTGGTCTGAGCATGCTCCTGAAAGGTGGGGGACCCCTGTTCCAATCCTATCTGCTCCTATGGGAGAATTGAACCTGGCTCTCCCCCATGAATGCGCTAATTACTAGGATAGAAATATAAGGTAGATACTAGCAGTGCCACTGCCAGCCAGATTTTGAATGGGACCCGATGTAGTAGGCAGCCTCTGAGCACACCTACTAGATCAAGCTCTGCAGGCAAAATCTGCAGAAGAGCACCTATATTCACCCCCTTAGAGTGCATGGATCACTCTAAGGCTTAGGTAGGAGACAGGCATCTAGGCACTTAGTGAAGCACCAGCGCACATGCTGAGAGGCAAAAACATAGGTGTCTAATGAATTTATACAGCAAAAATGTAGACATCAACTGAGTTCAGGTAGCAGCCGAGCAAGAGTTTTGCAAATTGCAGTGGGGTCTAAAACTGGGAGGGCTAGGGGCCTAAGTACCTCTGTGGATGTGGACCTTTAAATTTAAGAGAGGAAGCATAATAATACAGTTGTTAGAACAGGGGTATAGGAGTCAGGAGCACTATCTTCCATTCTGGGTCCTGCCATGGACTTGCTGTGTGACCTCTGGCAAGTCCCTTAGCCGCTCTGTGTCTCAATTTCCTCCTCTGTAAAATGGGAATACTATTTACCTGCCTCACTTGGATGTTGGAAGATTAGTTAATGTTTGTAAAGCACTGGAAGATTCTCTCATGAAAGATGGAATAGAAGTGCAAAGTATTATAACTAAAACAAAGCAAAAGCCGTAGTCATAAAATAATTCATTGTACTTACAGCACTCGTTACATAAGCGTTGACAAGCAATGAAAACGGCTTGTCTACACTTAGAGTTGTTCCTGATTAACTGTTCCTGACTGTCCCCTAACTCAAGAACAATTCCCTGTATCAACAAGTCCCAAGTAATCCTCAACTGAGTTGACTACCTACATTTCAAGGAAATAGAGAACTGAATAATCAATATGGGGCAGCACCTTTATAAGGAATCCACTTCACAATAACTTATTGGTTATGCAAAACAATAAATAAATAAATTTGTATCACAGCATATAATCCCTTGTATGAATACTACTTGAAAACATACTATTTTGCTGGTCCTTAGTAATTCTTAAATTGCAGGTCATAATACAGCCATGAAGCAAAAAATAAAGGACATCCCTTAAAATACAGGCGAGTATATCATCTTACTCACAACCCCACCATGAGGTGAATGACCTACTGAAGGCCATACCGCAAGTCAGCGGCAGAGCCAGGATTAGAAGCTAGGAATTCCTGGCTCCCAGTTCTGTGTCCAGGTCATTAGACCATACCGTGCTTTGCAGAGATGACTTTTAAAACGGCCTTAAAATCGATCCAAGCATGAGCAAAATTTCCTCCGAACACATAGGTTCTGAAGGGGGTTTGCCTGTGCAACTCTTCCCACCCCACCGTGGGAGATTTGCCTGATGACCCGCACTAGGTTCAGGGCAGTTGCGCGAGTGCCATGCGTTTGATCTTTCTTGGGTTGTGCAATGCTGGATTCTCCCCCTTGGAAGAAGCGGCATCGCTAGCAGCAGCCGTCGTTTACTATATTTGGTTCACCACGAGGTGACCCATCCAGATAAAGAGCTGCAGTCAACACACACGAATTCCTTTCTTGGTGCGGCTGAGGGAGGCACCGAGGGGCTGCTGGGTGCGAGGGGGGAGGGGGATTAGCACCTTCCTCGCTTGCTCGCTCTAATTATAGCTAGCGCAGCTGGTGCAGTTCCCTTTGGTGCCGGCGCGGGAGAGGCAGGCAGGGAGGGGGCACGGGAGCTCTCAGCCCCGCGAGCAGAGGCAGCTTCCGGGGCCTGCGGCTGCTCCTCCCCATGCCCAGGCTGCAAGGCTGCACGATGAGCCAGCGCTTTGCTATTGTTATTGCACCAGCCAAGGGCTGTGTGCACAGTGACTGTACGAACTGCCTCATTCAGAAGGGGACTCCCTCCGCCTGGATTCATGGGTCAGGCACGTTTCCGTGTCTCGTCGCCTCTTTTGTGATGGGGGTGGGGGGAGGTTGTGCGGGCTCTCGCGCTCGCTCTCTCTCTCTCTCTCTTTGTGAATGGCGCCTCCCTGCTCCTCTCCTCCTCATGCTTTGCCATTGCAACAGGGGAGAACGAAATCCCAGCGTGGTCCCCACGGAAGTCCCCTGGAGGTGTCCCCCAGACTGCAAAAGGGTCAGGGTTCAGCCTCTAGCGCTGAGAGAGAATCACAGGATGAGCCGCAGTGGGGAAGGTGAACGCGGTTGTGTAACTGCTAAGCACTGGGAGGGACTCAGCTTGCCTGTACCAGGGCCCTGAACGAGCCTGGATCGCTGGCCCAGCACGTGACTAGACTGCAGCTCAAAAGCGCTGCCTGGGAAGTTAATTACTCACGACGCAACCCCGCTAATGAAGTTTGCACTTGCGAGAGTACTAATAAGACGCCACTGATTGCGGTGGGTACTGTACAACCACGGCACTGACTGCTACTGTAATTAAAAAAAAAAAACAAAACCCACAGTGAAGGATGTAACCAGTGCCATGATTAAACAAGGTACAGCCTCCCACTACACCCTTATTTCCTTCCCCTTCAAACAGACACCCAAACAAGACCTGAAAGTTAGGCCGAGGCAGGGTTACATTTTAGTACCTTGGATTGTGCAATGAATCTGGGTCAAAGAGGCATCAGGAACAATTAACAGAATTACAGAGATGCATGCAGGGGAAATCCAGGGTGGATGAAGAACGCCAGCGGGTAGGTCCATGATCAAAGGGCAGCTGCTTTCCTCTTTCCCGATTTCTCTCTAGGCAGCTTACCTTTGTCTTGCAGGTCCTTTGGAGGCTCCTACTGCTGCCCCCTTGTTTTTTCCTACCCCGCTGCCCCAGACGTTCTTGTTAAACCCTGGATTTGTGCTGGAAATGGCCCACCTTGATTATCATACACATTATAAGGAGAGTGGTCACTTTAGATAAACTATTACCAACAGGAGAGTGGGTTTGTGTGAGGTGGGAGAGAAAACCTGGATTTTTGCTGGAAATGGCCCAACTTGATTATCATACACATTGTAAGGAGAGTGATCACTTTAGATAAGCTATTACCAGCAGCAGAGTGGGGTGGGGGGAGGTATTTTTTCATGCTTTGTGTGTATAAAAAGATCTTCTACACTTTCCACAGTATGCATCCGATGAAGTGAGCTGTAG